CAAGCCAAATGGGTTGTTAAACATTAATAATTTCTTATTATTAAGAAAATTTATAAATTACAAATAAAAAAACTCTAAAAACAATGAAAAAAAATCCAAATCTTAAAATTCCAAAGAATAAAATAAAATAATCATAAGATGTGACTAACATTGAACTAGAAAAGGGCTCCTTTATCCAATTTCAATATATGTTGTAACTTTTCTATCTAATGCTATCCTTAAAGTTGTGTGTAATTAGTTTGATGAATTTTATTATTAGCAATCATAAAGTTTGTAACTTCCTATTCTTTCCTATTTTAGGTTTCGAAAAATGAATTGCTACTATCTTCACACCTTCATACACAATGGGATTTCCTACTGTTGGCAGAGTTATGTGTGTGTTATCCATTTTTTTCTTAATTGATAAGATAGAAATCTAATACTTCAAGTTAATTCAACTCTACTAACTATTCACTTAAACATGTGACTTAATTTTGTTAGTTAGATATTCTCATTCTTTATTCAACACATGAAAAAAAGCATGCAATTTGGGATCATTCTTTTCATCCAAGCTCCTAAATTTATTTGCCATGATGTATAACTTTTATTTTGTCGTGTAACTTTTGCATGGGGTGCTTAAGCAGTTTGTAAGTACTGTTACAAAGACAAGGGAAGGAATTAGAAAGCTCACCAAATCATTTGTAATATATATATAGCTATCTTCTATGTGCTTATGTAATTAGTAGATTAGAGAATCTTTTTGTTGATGTAGTGTTTTCATTTTCTCTTTTCTTATTGACAAAATAGAGATTAATACGTGAAGTTAATGTGACTCTACTTACTATTCACTTAAAGTTAAAATGAGACTTAACTTTATTAATTAGATATTCTCATTCTTTATTTAACATATAGAGAAAAGCACCTAATTGGGGATCTTCTTTTCATCCAAGCTCCTAAATTTCTTTGCCATGCATGATCTGTAATTTTTATTCTATGGTTTAACACATGCATGGACCTTGCTTTAGCGGCTTGTAAGTATTATTACTGTAACAAGGGGAATGAACCACATATATATATATAAGACCATTTTTCAAATTAGTATTAGAAATAAAAGAATTCAAATTCAGATAAAAAAAATAACAAATCTTGAATAAAACATGTTAAGATTTTATGTGTGGCATTTATTTGTATAATTACATAAAGCCATCTGAATTTCAGAGCTCAAACATATTATGCACAGTAGGTTCGTTTGAAAGTTCTCAGGTGCTCTCTTAAAAATACTCCTCAAAGTTCAGGTCAGTATCCTTTTCTTATTGGGAAATCAATTTCGATGCATTTTTCACCTTCTTTTTTCTAATTTGTACTTTTAATTTTTGCAATGCATTTGTCTGTTGAAGCAAAGAATAGGAATAAGTAACAGTGATTTTAACTTTTTAGTGTTAAAGTTTGGAATAACTTAAAGTACTAATCTTTTAAGTCTT